TGTCTGCCTCTGAAATACTATATGAGAAATAGGTCTGCTTACAAAGTGACTTAGATATTACCATAGGATGAAGTTTTTCTAAAGACTAAAAATGATTGACCTGGGGCAAAGGAATTGGTTCTGGCATGGATGTTTCAATCACATGTTCTGTGTAATTTATACATGAAAATGCTATCAAAATATTTAAAATTGGGAACAGAGTTAAGAAAAGTAGTTGTCCAAGCTTGATCAGTTTGTATGCTTGGTGTAATTGTCAACTCAGTTATTGCTGTGCTCCATTTTTTATCGTGGAGGAGAATTTGCCAAGGCTGAAAAATAAATTAATCCAAGTTTCTCATAAAAACATACTTTGAAAAAGATCATTGGCTATGCACTGGCCATTCATTAATATACTAGTGACTTTCTCATCATTTTTCTTCACATTAACCAAATGAAGGTGTTTAAGGACCCACAATGTGCGTGTTGCTAGGCTGTCTGCTGAAAATGTTACTTTCATTCTTGTACAAGATGAGAGAGATTAAACTCTTCCTGACATGCTGAAAAATGTTCCATCTTCAAAAATATTCATAGTGAAAGCAGTTAAAATACATAAATAGATTCTTGTTATTGCTTTTTTATGTATGTAATTCTTGCATTGCTGGACAGATGATGCTAGATTATTGAATCGAAAGTTGCGGAGCACAAGCTTTTCTCAATAACTCTTAAGATAGAAGAAGTTTCAGAACACCTGAAATAATGAAAAAGATTCACTGAATGCAAATGACAGCTTTCATCTTTCTTTATGAAGCACATGCTCATGAATATATACATTTTTGCATATGTAGAAGCTCAAGTGTGTCTGCCTTCCGATGAATGAAAGAATAAGGAAATTATGTATTCAGAACTAGTTAGAATTTTGCTTTTTTTGTTGAACTCACCAATTTAATTGAAGTTGCTTTCCTGAGATGGAACATTTCTAAGAGGCTGCCAGATTTGAGAACGGGGCAGTTATCCCCATCTCCTTCCATCTAAAGGTTTTGTCCTATTTTAAATGCCAGTGTTGCTTTTGGTGATATTACCAGCCTTTTGGCAGTTCAGTGCTGTCTGTCTGCACAGTCTGGCCGTGTAAAGTAGCAAAGCGCAAGAAGCTGATCTCCTAAGGGAGCTCCAACAATATTGACAGGCTTGATTGACACAAAACCACTCTCTCTCTTTCACCTTCACTGAACTCTCATAGTAAATTCAAGACCTGACTGAAGAGAGAGAGGGCTTTAGCCATTGACTTCCATGGGAACAGAATTTGAACACTAGCAACTACTGCTCTCTCCTAAAGCAGCCCTGAATAATTTGGCAAATACTGTTTAGAAGCACTATCAATTTGATCCCACTTCCTTCTCTGGACTGAAAGCCAAGTTCAGGGCTATTTATGTGTTATTAACTAGAGCAGGCTTTGGATGGGAACTACAGCAAGCATTTAAATCTTAAAAAAATGGGTAATGGCTTAATGAACCTTGTTTGGGTTAAAGCTGTTATTTATTCTTGATATTTGTATTTGTTACTGTCAGGTAGAAGTCAAAGAAAGAGCGGTGCCTTCTATCTTGAAGAGCTTATCAGGATGGAATAGCCTGAAATTTGTCTCAAGTGACTCAATTCTCTCTTTTCTGACAGGAAAACAGCAACAGGAGATTTTCCAGATAGGCTTCAAAATACCACACATGCTTAAAACTTTGAGGATGTCATGAAACATACAAAAAGATGTGCTTATCTCTTCAAATTATGAACATCTATGGGTATCTAAATTACATTTTCTATTAAGTCAGCAGTATAAAAGGTGAGGGAAGAGGCAGGGAACAGGCATTTATTTTCAGACAGTGTGTTTGTACAGAGGAAAAGGAGAAAAGTGAAAATTCAGTCCGTAAATTGAAGAGTTGTCTGTCTGAAATGGAAGACAGCAACAATGGAAAAATTTTAAAATATTCCCTTTTTCCTTCTTCCTCTTCTAAAGTATTTGGAAATAAAATATTCGACTTCTGTTGCAATTGTTTGATATTATAGTTGTAATGTTGATATTGCTTGAATAGTTTCTAGATATTTTACTTTTAAATTGATAACCATAGTACCTAATTGTGATAGGTTTTTTTCCTGTCTAAAGTAAATTAATTATTTTTAAAGCACTTCTGACATTTCATGAAACCATTAAGAAAGAATTCTACTTAGAAATAGCTGATGTAGTGGACTAGGATATGCTTTTTCCAGTGTCTTCTGTTGTTGCACATGTAATTAGTAAGACTGACGGTGTTAATATCAAATAGTCGTGTGAATCTCATGTTGCAAAGCCTAGAGAACCTTTCTTAGAGGGGATTTCAAGAGTGCTAAGTAAACAGGAGATTTGAGGGTTTTTTGTGTACTTAGAACAACATGCGTGAACTCATGAGACTCTGTTACACTCTACTGTACGTCCTGAAGGAACAGAGATTATTAATTTTGATTTCTTTGTATTTTGAGTTTGGTTACCATAGTTGTTTCCAGGTGTAAACCATTAAGACCTTACACCACTTCAGAGACATTAAGATAATTTTCTGTCTTGCCGGATGTAATATGTTAAATGGCTATGTTGGTTTTGGGAGGTTATTTGTTGGAAAAAATAAGTAACTAACTAAATAAATAAAAGATACCAAAGCCCAGAATCATCTAGACTCTTGTCTTCCTGTCAGAACATGCTCTTTTGATCTTTTGGCTTACGTCAGTGTTGATCGAGAGAGACTGACGTTTCCCCCAGGATTCCTCTCAGTTCGCTTTAAAGGAATATAGTCTCCTGTGTAGAAACTTATTTGTGAAGGGTATGGTACTCTTGTCCTTTTCTGTCTTCTTCCCTACCTGCTGAAAAGTCTGTACGATATTTTTTGCATTTTTTCTAGATGGGAGTGGTTAAGTTAACAAATAAGAGTGTCAGATGGTAATGCTGGGTACTGGGAATTTCAGAAATAGCAACAGCTTCCTATTTGTGGTCGGATACTATATAGACAGGATATGTAGTAAACTGATTTCCTAGCTTGTTCACACACATTATAGTACATGGGCTAATATCAACACGTGTACATTAGCAGATGACCATGGCATGTGTAAATATCCAATGTGCAGATTGTATTTACGTGCTTCTCCTGATGATATCGTATGTTGCTTGATAGTGGGTCAGTGCTTAAAAAAAAAGATTTTGAAGCTTCAGATGTGATGTTTAATAGGTCTTTCTCTAATGCTGGCTTAGCACCTGTGCCTCCTGTACAGTCACATCAAAGTGAGTTGTAAGTAACCACTCTGAAATCATGCAGCATCGCACTGTGGAGTAAAACTAGTGAAAGTGCAGGAAAGTCAGCCCTGTAAAATCTCTCCATCTGCAGGAAAGCTCTCCACAGCCACCTGGATGCTTTTAAACCTTCATTATTTTAAATTTAAGATGGTTAGCTGAGCATTCCTTCTACCAAAATATGATGCAATAATCGAACTCAGAGGTGGGGAAAGACCTCTGGGGTCACACAGTTGATCTTTCTGCCAATAGTGGATTGTTCCCTGCAGTTCTGTTTCTAGTGACCTTGGAAATTACTAGCCTGGTAAAATAGTAATGAAAAAAATAAAGCAGTTAAAGCTTCAGCCAAAGTGATGCTGTCCCAATGAGAAATTGTGATTTTGATGTGATATTCTCTATATGCATTGTTCCTCTGTGACGTTTTTCAAGTGATCACAATTTTAATTTACACATTCTGACCCATTTTGAACTTGCTGTAATGAAGAAGTTGGGGTGATGCGCTTGTTCTAATATTATATGAACTTCTCCTTTAACCAAATCACAGTTTTTATTTTAAATAAATAAGTCAGCAACGTGGCTAATCCCCCTACAGCAGCATTTTCCTTCACGTCCCTGCACTTTAATTCTTTCAGCATTTCTAGCCTCACAGACATAGGAAATGAGGAAGAAAAAACAGATTTCTTGCTTTTTTCTATCGAAACACCTGGTTAATTAATTAGAGCCTGTACTTGTTATGCCTGGGACCCAAAAATTCCTGAAAAGTTTCAGAAGCAGCACATCATTTTTAGGTGTCTTTCAACCAAGCCAATATTAGGTTTATTCTCTGTTGATGTAGGCAGTAAAGGACAATCTTGACATGCAACTAATGAAGTAGGTAGAATTTGGCCCCTCTTTTAGGAAGGAGACAGCAAAGGCAAGCTCCCACCAGCAAGCTAATTACAGTTTTGGCTGAAAAATATTTTAGGAGGCTGTTAAAAGCTGGGTAGATGGAAAAAGATCCCAAGACACAGAGTTCCCTTCCTGTTGTACCCATTTCATGTATGGCAATTTCTTCACCAGGGGGCCCTGTTGTTGGCTACCTTTTGGGGTGTGCATCTCTGTGAATATTCTTTCTTCCTGGAGCTTCCCTGACTATTGTGTTCAAACACCAGATCTCAGTTGGAGAAGAAGGGGGTTTTCTTAGCTGCCAACTTGCTTAAAAGAGGAGTTAAGAGGAAGAGAAAGCTAACGGGACTGTGCTTGGCAAATCTCTCTATTTTATTCTGTTTTATTAAAGGATTGGGTGTCGAGAACAGAAATAGTGAGAAGACTTATTCGTTAAACAGATTCTTGCAAAGTTTTTACAATAAAAGGAGAAAGCTGCTTTAGTAAAGCAGTGTGTATCCTTGCACTAATGCTGGTCATGAATACGTGTCCAACTTAGCTGGAACTAATGTCTGACTCTACTATTCCACTACAGCAACTTAACATTCTGTGTAGGCTGATTATTTTTTCAACAATATTTGCTAAATTCTTTTAAGGGCTGCCAGTATATATTTTTTGAAGCTTAGTTAATAAGAACAGCTGCCAGTGGAGTCAAGGCTAAAAGAGGAAGAAAATATCTGCAGAAGGGAAGACTTTACTTCAAAAGATCAGTATTACAAAGCACTACTGTTGCTGGTATAATCACTTTCTTTGGGGGGGATGCTAATACAGACTGGGTTTCTTGTCTTCACAGCCCCCACTGAGCCTTTGCTGTGCAAATTTGCTGATGGAGGGCAAAAGAAGCGCCAGAATCAAAGCAAATATACACAGAATGGAAGGCCTTGGCCCAGAGAAGGAGAGGTAAGTGCCACGCAGCAATTATTTTCCTGGGGTTTGGCAGAAGTCAGCCGCAGACCTGGAAATCTACCTTTCGGGGTTACGAAGAAATCAGATTGCACACAATATACAATAGTTTCACACAGAGAAAAGTATATGCGCAGAGGGGAGAGTGAAGCTTATAATAATGTACGGAGTGTAAAGTTACAGGAAAAGACAGTTTCGGAGCTTGGTGTGGATCTGTGTGCAGCCTTGTCCCACCCACCGCAAGCACTCTGTCTGCAGCCAGACCTGAGTCCAGTATTATCTTACTGGTGTGCCATCAGCACCTGTAGTGTAACTTTAATAAACCCCAAATCAATTTACACTTAAGCAACTCAATATTGTTATTTCCTCCATATACTCCCTGGTGATAGAGCATCATCAGGGAGTAGGTGAGTTGTTACGAGAGGGAGAGTTGCAGTCACACATCCAAATAAATAGTCCACATAAAAGTTTTCCAAAAGCTTATCTCAGCTGGACTCTTCATTCTGCCCAAGACAAAACAGTCTACAGTAGCCTCAGCTCCATCATGTGTACAAAGTTAAAAAAAGATATCTAATTGTTGCTTTCTGCTCTGCTGCAAACAGTTCTGTTACTGGAGTTTCCTTTCTGTGTACTTGTACATGAAATGACTCCAAATGTGGGTGAAATAAGAAAGGAATTTATTTGACTCTTCAAGAGGCTGTTTACTCTTCTTGAATGTTATTATAGGATAAAGACACTTGAATAAATGAGGTAGATCTGGCCATAGTACCTTTTTATGCATGATCGTAGCTATGTACACTGAAGGACTTACAAATATTTCTATCTTAAACACCTATTCTTTGGGTTTATGATATATTTTCCTTTCAAGGAAAATAAATGTTGCTCAGTTGTGATGCGTTAGAATACAAATTGGTAGTTTGTGTTTTGGTTTGGTTTTAACTCTTTTGGGGGTATTTTTTGTGGGTTTTGCTGCATTTACTTCAGTTTTACAAAGCAAGAAAACTATTTGGTATTTCTAAGTTATGTGTTTCTAGAGGGTTTCTGCTTTTTTGGAGCCAGGGTTGTTTATTATCTTCATTGATGATCTGGATGAGGGGATCAAGTGCACCCTGAGTAAGTTTGCAGATGACACCAAGCTGGGCAGGAGTGTTGATCTGCTGCAGGGTTGGAAGGCTCTGCGGAGGGATCTGGACAGGCTGGATCGATGGGCTGTGGCCAATGGTATGGGGTTCAACGAGGCAAAATGCTGGGTCATGCATTTGCGCCACAACATGGAATTCTGCATGCTTGGGGAAGAGTGGCTGGAAAGCTGCTCAGTAGAAAAGGACCTGAGGGTGCTGATTGACAGAGCTGAACATGAGCCAGCTTGTGCTCAGGCAGCCAAGAAGGCCAACAGCATCCTTGCCTGTATCAGCAATAGAGTGGCCAGCAGGGCCAGGGCAGTGATCATCTCCCTGTACTGGGTGCTGATGAGGCCACACCTGAAATCCTGTGTTCAGTTCTGAGCCGCTCACTACAAGAGAGACACTGAGGTGCTGGAGCAGGCCCAGAGAAGGGCAATGGAGCTGGTGAAGGGTCAAGAGCACAAGTGTGATGAGGAACAGCTGAGGGAACTAGGGGTGTTTAGTCTGGAGAAGGCTCGGGGGGACCTTATCACTTTCTACAACTACCTGAAAGGAGGATGGGGAGAGGAGGTGGCTGGTCTCTTCTCCCAGGTAACAAGTGATAGGGCAAGAGCTAATGGCCTAAAGCTGTACCAGGGGACGTTTAGACTGATATTAGGAAAGAATTCTTCACATAGAGGGTGATCAGGCATTGGAAAAGGCTGCTCAGGGAAGTGGTGGAGTCACCATCCTTGGAAGTGTTCAAAAATTGTGTAGATGCAGCCCTTAGTGACATGGTTTAGTGGTGGACTTGGCAGTCCTGGGGTAAAGGTTGGACTTGATAATCTTAAAGGTCTTTTCCAACCTAGTTAATTTTATGAATCTGTGATTTTTTGTAACTACTTGATTTCGCTAGCTGATACCTTTTGGACCATTCACTTATGACATACATACTCTGGCACGATTGGTGAGCTCCTTAAGCAAACAGAAAGGCATCTTGAAAGCATAGACATTTCTCCCTCCAGCAAGGTGGTTATTGTACACTGTTCCAACAGCAATGCTCCAAATTATTTTTAACTCTGTGGGCTGAAAGTGCCAGTGTGACAGCCACATTTGCCACAAGAGACGGCAGAAGACTCCAGAGGTTCATTGCAGGCTCTTATGTCGTATGTCTCAAAAAATAGAGATGTTTTCTTAGGAGTCATTATGGTTTGTCATGATATGGATCTACTGAGGAGTAAGTGCCCAGGAAGTACTTCAAGTAGTAGCTTCAAGTCATTCTATAGAGAGCTTGAAAATGAAAGGCTTATGTATAGGAGACAATAATAAACCCTCAATAAGGTCAATAATCCATATTTTAAAGACCTCTAAATCCCTGTTTAAAAACTAAACACCATCGTAGTTATTATCCGCTCTGTTCTGTACTTCCTTCAGTTCAAATCAATAAACAAGAGAATATAAAGTTAAAGCCAGCAAGCCACCATTATGCCGGTGGCCTCAGGCCACATCAGTTTATCACATCATATATAGTTCATTTGCTTCTAGTGTAGTGGCTCATATTAAGTGCAGTGATACCACTGTGATCTACAGGCAGGGTGTGGTTGATGTGCTTATAGTATCAACATTTAAAAAGTAGGTTTTAGTGGTGTTTGACCTCAACTACTAGAGCTGTTGTCATGGTATAATATACAAATGTGGAAAGATTGTAAAGGTACAAACTCAGAAATATTTCAGGCTGGGAATGATCTGTTTTCTTAGATTTTCTTAGATTTTTTTTGTATATTAACATCTGGTTAATACCTTGCTGCGCATTGGATATTTACTACTCAAAGCATCAAAGACAAGAATGCATGTTCTCTTTTAGGGTCACTCATTTGTTGAATTTCTTCCCCACCATTGTTGATTTTCTTATTTCCAGTGTAAAATCCTTCTATGTAATTACTTGTATATTTTATATGGAATAGTTTTTTTTCTAACTCTTTGTCATTTAATGATCTTACTCTAAGCACAATGTACCATTCAGTTGTTCTCTGCATAGCAGCACTTGGGTAACCTTCCTACAATTACTCCTGTCAAATTCAATCTCTTTAATAAAGAACAGGTAGTAAGTCGTGAGAAATAATTGATACCTGACAAGTGTCATAGTTCTGATTACAAATGGGACCTCGAAATATTCCATGCACCTCTTCTTTTTCTTGTTTTCTTACCCAAAGAAAAGCATTGAAATAGTGTCCAAGAGATTGCTCCTTCAGTATTTCCACCCTGGCCAAATTCTGTGGTATCTGGACCAAGATGTATTTTGGCTAGTGTTCAGATAAACCTTTGCATTCTTGCTTACATGAAGGGCACTTCTAAAACTTCTGAGGTTTAACAAGCATTAACACTGAGCATGCAAGAGGATTATTGCTCAGAAGGACAGATCCCAGAGAAATGCACGAGCAGTTCTGTCACTGGCTTCAAACTTGAAAATGCGATGTAGAGACAAGACAGTTGTGCTCAGTACTCTGCTGTAGGGGGGAAACAGGAGGAGATTTAGCAGGGAGGAGCAGATTTGCTTTGGTTTTACCTCTGTGGCCATGCTGATCTCAGAGGTTTTGCTCTTCTATGGGGAGCTTCTGGGGAATTTTATAAGAGAGAATTTCTTTTTTTTTTTTTTGGGGGGGGGGTAAAGTTTTCAGGCAATACTGTAGAATGTAATAGAAAATCTTATTCCGAGCATATATTTTTGTAGATTGCTTCTCATAACCACATAGAAATACTTTAGTTAGCTGCTAAATTGGCTTACCTTTTAAAGTCAAGTGTTTAGGAAAAATTTTTCTAGGGCTTTTGGGGTTTTTTTTTTGGTACTTGGTTACTTGGCCAGTTGTAACCAGGGAAGAATGCCTGACCTTGGATGGCACTTTCTAGTCTTTACCCTTCCACTCTTCTTTGAAGCCTCAGGAAATATTCAACAGATTTACTGAGGCATTTGACTGAGGATTTGTGATGGCTGACCAGTTCTGCACTAAGGAGCTGAGAGCTTAGATTATTGATGGCTTTGTAAAAGGCTGTCAAATAGGCATCTAACATATAGGTGCAAGAAATACACAGAGGAACCTGCAGATGTTGGAAATACTTGCAGTGAAATTCTGATCTAATAACGGACATAATTTCTGCACAAAAGTAAATTATTTTTTTTCAGGCTAGTTTTTCCTGAGTCACAGTGGTTTGATTCAGCAATCTGTACTGAAACTTTCTCTGACTAGATTATGTTGAGATGGTGATAGAGGGTAATCATATTCAAATTCTGTCGGTAAAATATTTGATTTAATTTACCTCTAAATTGCAGTTGACAGGTCTAGAGGAGGGTGACATATCTCAAAAAAAATATTCATTAGTTGAAAATGCACCTGGGGAATGAAGAGTAGTTAGAAATTGAGATCAGATTGGATTAAAACCTGCAACTTAAATAATCTTTTATTGCAGATTTACTGAAACTTTGGTTTGGTTATTCAGAAATAAAATCTTTTGATATGTGTATTTAAGATTTATGTGGTAGAAAGGGAGAAACCTTTGGCACTTCATTTGCAAGTTTCTATAAAATTTAGAGCATATAAGTATTTACATATTTTTTATCTCAAGGAAATACCACCATTTCAGTATTGGTTCATATATCACAACAGTGAATGCACCACCAAATGCGACCCCCTTGTCATTCAATTTGATCTGATATTTATAATCATATTTAATAATTGCCACCAATAATTCTTCTGTTGATTGCTTTTTTGCTTCTGTAATCTGGGTTAGACTTTTGTTTCTAAATAGCCAAGAGATTAACCTCTCTTCCTACTTTTCCCCTTCATCATTTATCATTGGTGAAATGTCTAAACCATTAAACATAGTTTTAATTCTTCT